ACATATATATTCCACAAAATGCGGACTTTTAATTCTACCACCTTTTTTCTTTAATTAGTAAGCTCAATATTATTTTTCATGATCAAATCCCGAAAAATAAAATAGGCATGCAAACATTTCAGCAGTATTTTCTATGATTAAAATGTTAGCGAAGATTGCAGTATTGGAAGATGATTATAAGCTAGATAATTATTGAAATGCTAAGTTTTTATTTACCTATTCAAGTCACTGAAATATTCTATTTAGTTAATTCGATTCGGTTTGATAATATCTTTTGACCTACTCTACTGCGAAGCGAATCGTATGAGAGAACAGACTAGAACAAAACAAAAATTATTTTTGCCAAAAATTGGAGAATCAAAACAAAAATTATTTTTGCCAAAAAATTAGAATAAAAATAAATATAGTTACAAACATTAGAACTTGCTATTTGATTCACAGATTCCAAGCACCAATTATTGCAAACCGATAACTAATATCGATAAGTTAACTGATTTAGTTGATTCGAATCACGTTGATAAATCATCTCGCCTAACTCTACTGCGAACAAGCTAAATAAGAGAACAGACTAAACTGCCAGTTGACTAAATGAGAATCATTTTAACGAAATTAGTAAGAAATTTTGAATATCTTAAAAACTATTAGTTTATGCACTGATTCGAGGTATCGATTCAAGTAAACCGATTTGTAAAACAAATAAGTTGATCGAATCACGTTGATGAGTTGTCTTGCCCCCATTCTCCAAAGCCGATTAACTAAACCAACTGAATGAGAAACAGCAAACCAAATACATGAACTAGAAAATGAACAAAATTTTGATTCATTAATTTGAAACACCGATTCATTTGTTTTAAATCACATAGAGGATTCGTCTGGTCTCTACAATGAAGCGGATTATAAAAATGAGAGAAAGTCCCCTTAAAGAAGACAACGATCCACATGAATCTCTTTGGAGAATTGTCCCAAACTAAAGATTTAATCGTTCCCGCGGGGGTGGATCCTTTTTGACACTTTCAGTTTTTATATACTCTTCTCTTCTCTTCCTTTTTTTCTGAGATAAAATTTTTTTTTCGTTTGCTCCTGGGGAAGGTTCGCCCCTGGGGTGGTCGGGGGTAGTCTTGCGTTAAGGTTATCCTAAAGCAGCAGACCCGTTGCTTAATATCCCGTGAGACACAAAACATACTCTTGTTTTTTTATAATGGTGAAACAAACTGTTACTGCAGCGTGACAAAATTTTTCTATTAAATATTCTCGAAGAAAAAAAAAGTTCTTTTTTTAATTTTTTAATCGTTTAAAGTGATTTAATTTTATTTAAATCAATCTGCAAGTAAATTAGAGTTTTGGAGAATTTCCTTCTTCAACTAAAGCTGAGAACTACACTTTGACAATTGAAGGAATTTTCAGAAAATTATTCAAAAATTATCTGAAACGTATGAATAATTGCTTTAAATTGTCTTTAGCATCTTTTGCGTTATTAGCATTCAAAAAAAATTTTTCTTCTGAATTTAAAATCCCAAATATGCTTCTATTAATTATTTTTCTATTAATATATTATTTGTGAGTAATTAAAACAAAAATAACTAAACAAGCTAAAACGATTCCCGAAGAAACAAAAAAATAAAAAGAATATATCTAAAACAAACTTATTTCAATTCTCATTAAGATGTTTTTTACTATTTATTTATTTATTTACTCATTTATTTATTAACTTATTTATTTACTCATTTTTTCATTTATTTACTTATTCATTTATTTACATATTCATTTATTTACTTATTCATTTATTTACTTATTTATTTATTTACTTTTTTATTATATTTATTTTTGTACGGGGCGGGGAAAGATTCATAGAAAAAAAAGGTTTTTGAAGCAACAGTATCACTTACATAAAAAAAGAGGAAACTAACTTTAACTCGAACAATATTAAGAAAAATGAAACTCTAACTTAGAATTCTAACAGCATAGCTTTTTCAACATTTTTTGAGCGAATCTGTTTAATTTCATTGATTTTTGCGAGCTGAATGATTAAAAGAGATTTATATTTTTATTTTATTTCAATTGGCTAGTAGTATTAAGACATGATTCAATTGATTACAAATGGAAAAATCCAAAATTAAAAATTGTAAAAACGTTATTTATTTAAATCTTCGCTATTTACTTATACCAAGATACTTAGAAATTATGATTTAGTTTGGTATCGGTTATTATTAAGTTATTAACTTACGGTTATTATTTCCAATTAAATTTCTGAATCAATTCATAAAAAATATCTTCATTTCTAATTGTAAAAAATTCTTTAAACGCAGTAAATAAAAAATATTTTTTAATATTTGATTTACAGTTGGATTTATAGTATTTATATTATTATTTAGGCTTTATTTATTTAAATAATCATTATTTAGGTACTTAAGATGTCTTAAATTAATGATATATTCAGATTCACAGCTGCTAAAATTAGTTTTTTGCCATTTTTATATTTCAGTTGACTTATCCAAAAATAAGAATCTTTTCATTTTTAACTTTGACACATTTAGAGAAATAGTATTCTTATTCTCAAAATATGTCGAATAAAAATATCTTTTTATCTCTGATTTATAACATTTAGATCAAAACGGCATGAAACTCTAAATTCGTGAGAGATTGTGTTGAAATCTTGACACAAGATAGTCGATAAATAATCTCCAAAATTGAAAATAAAAAGTTTTTTTTTTCTCGAGTCAATTTCAGGACATTTTTTTTATCAATTTATAAAAATGACAGCTTTATTATAAAATTTAACCTCACGTTCCTTATCCTTATCAGCTCAATTGAGGAGTGGACAACGGGAAAGATGGAAATAGAAAAACAACAAGAATAAGACGGGGAAAAAATGTTACTTTATTTTTGAAATATGGTTACGGGGTCAAAAGATATTTGTGATGCTTGCTTGTATTGAATGACAGATGGGATGTTTAGCTTTACCAGATAAATAAAGAATATTAATAATAAATAAAATAAAATGATTGACGAAAATTTGGAAAGGAGAATGGTTTGAAGATTGCTTACTTTTCGTGTAAAATTTTTTTAAAAAAAAAAAATATATAGACTGCATCATTTCATAATGGATTTTTTTTAAAAATATTATAAAGAAACTTACAAAACGAAAAAAAGACTAAATTTGTCATAACATAAATGAACCTTACAAATGAGGTAAATAAATCTGAATTTAACTGTGCGGTTTTGAATTCACGACTAC